AAGCAGTGATGACACTTTCTTCTGGAAGATCACCGCCAACGACCTGTTTAGTGCAAGCTCAGCTTTCAAAGCTAGTTGTCCAGAACCTAACCACCACAACTAAACCATTTGGCGGCAGATATGGACATTGCATTGTCTGGATTCTGGAAAGAGTCAGGTTCTTTGTTTGACAGGAAAAGTCTGGAAAGAGTCAGTGTAAGTTCAGCTGACTACTGATAATAAGTGCCCCAGATGCACCAATGCAATCGAAATGAACATACACTGCCTCCGGCACTGTCCAGCAGCTAGGAAAATCTAGGAAAGATGGTGTCAACACAAAAGAAGCAATCCTTCTTTACAAGAGGCCACGTTGACTGGTTTCACGTGAACTTAAAGGATGCAGATAATGATGGAGGATATGAGCACTGACCTAGCTTGTTCTCTCTTGTGTGTTGATATATTTGGAAATACAAGAATTCCTTTATTTTTCAGGGGAAAAGACTAGCTGAAGCATCCTTCATCAACTACGTTCGAACGAAAGCTACAAGCTGGCTTCAGACTTGGGAGAGAGCCGAGTTGCAGCTGTAAAACTGTAATAAACTAGATCGGGTTGATCAGATGGTGGGATGGGTGGTGCCACCAAATGCATGAAGATGAACACGGATGGCGGGGGGGAAGGCAATATAGGAATAAACACTACAGGAAGGATTATTAGAGACAATGTTGGTGATTGGAAAGGAGGCTTCTATTGCAAAATCGGCACCGGTTCTGCAATTCTCGCGGAACTTTGGGGAATTCATCAAGGTTTGATCATGGCTCGAAATCAAGGTATCAAGTTCCTCATTCTTGAGACAGATTCGAAGTTAGCTATTGAGATAAGGAATAGAGTGGATCCAGTTCATCCTCACTCGACGATCTTGACAGCTATATGTCGACTCTTAGCTCAGAACTGGGTGGTGCAACTAGATCATACGTACAGAGAGGGGAATAGAGCCGCGAACTAGCTCTCGAATCATAGCCTCGTCAATTCATTTGGTATGCATGAGCTAGCAAACCAACCAAGTGAGTTGGGGAGGATTCTTATTGAAGATACCTTGGAATTAACCTTTCCCAGGATGGTTATTCGGACGCAGGATTGATTCAGGTACCGCCCTTTTAGAAATCCTCTTTTCGATGTCCATGTATCTTTCTTTTGTAGCCTTTTTTGCATAGTAAATTAAACCGGATCGGACCGGCCGGTCGAACCGGTAAAACCGGGTTTCGGTGCCTGGCCGGTACGACAGACGGACTGTGGGGATAATGCCGTTTCGGTCGGTTTTACCGGCACAACCGGCTCAACTCAAAAAACCGCCCGGTTTTGGTCTAACCGGGGGTGAGCAGATATAAAGGAAACGGCGTCGTTTTGCATTAGGGAAGGAAAAAAAAAAAAAAATAATCGGCCGAAGCCTAAAACCAAAACCCTAAATCATCTCTTCGACCTTCGTTTGCTGCCGCTGCCGCTGCGATTCCTCTTCTTTTCGAGGACGAGAAGGCGACCCTCCCTCCTTCGACGACCGGCGGTCCTCTCCGCCTCTGCTCGACGACCGGCGGTCCTCTCCGCCTCTGCTCGACGACCGGCGATCGTCTCCGGCACCGGCTCAAGAAGAAAACGACCGGCGACCAGGGCACGCCTCTATTCCGCCGCTGCTCTGCCACTCTTCTCCGCCGCTACTCTGAAGCGTCTCCCTAGTCCCTCCCCATTTCAAGGGGGCCATTTCACAGCCGTCGTCCAAGTTGCAAACTTTGCAAACTACAAGTGGTTACTGTTGCAAGGTATTTGTGACGCTGGCCAGATGCTACTAATAGTATCCATCTTCTGTCACCACACAATTGGATCAACGTGGGGAGAACTATAGATTTGAAAGGCACAAATTAGTATCAACAACCGATATAGATTGGACTTGCCTACTTAGAGTGTTAATGGTGTTGTTTGACGATATGAAACGTTGTTTGTGAACATTGTAGTGTTTGCTAGTTTGTGTTTGTGGTAGTTGTGAACTTGTGGTTTGAGAATGTTGTTTGGTTTGAGAATGTTGTTTGAACTTGTGGTTTAAGAATGTTGTTTGTACTCGATCGTAAACATGCATTTGAACGATTATGTAGTTAATTCAGTAATGTTGCAGTTTGTTGAATTTTATATTACATATGCTTATTTAGTTTATTCAGGTTTGTTATCCGGTATATTCCGGTTTTATTCCGGTATTATTCCGAGACGGTATCACAAATCTGCCGGTACGGTTTTTTCACAAAAAAATATTATTTATTTACAAAAACGGTATTTTGCCGGTACACAACGATTGAACCACGGTAGTACCACAAAATACCCTACCACTGGCGGAGCCGGTATGACTTCCGGTACGGTTTCCTTTACCATGCTTTTTTGGTCTCGTTTGTAATTGATAGCTTTTTTGCCTCCCTTTATTAGGAAAAAAAAAAGTGAATCCGCAAGAGCTTAATTTTGAACTCAACTTCCTGTTGTTGGGCTTTATTTTGTTTCTTGTTTTTTTCGGGTGGTTGTTTATAAGTCCTTCTTTTCCATGTATTTGTCTAATCTTTGATTTCTTATTCTTGTTTAGTAAATTGGATTCCCTATGATAATGTTTATTTTGGTCATTTTAAGAGGCAGGTTGGAACTAACTAGTCTCGAAAACTATTAGTTATTTTGTGTGGGACAACCATTAATAAGATGCTAAGCAACCATGATATACAGTAGTTTTTGTGCAGATTTTTCAGAAGTTATTGGAATTTAGGACTAGTAAAGTCCCATGACTAGTGTTTAAAAAAATTTAGGAAGAGCTCTAACTCTTCCTCTTAAGGGTTAACCATTGGTATGTATTCTGATTATTTGGCTACTTCTTTTGTAAGTTTTTTTTTATGAAGGTAATTAGATCAATACAAAAGGAAAAAGGAGACACAGTCAAGGGTTCATCAGAGTTGAACCCGAAACAACGTAATAAAAAGGTAAGGAAAACAGAGAACAAACAACGAGAGGGAGAAGGAAAGCAAAACCGCAAAACAAGAATCACAACATTGTACAAAAAAGGTCAGAGGGGCTGCCAAATCGTGGAGATCACCCTTACTGGTCTTTGAACTAGTTTACGCATGAGTTCTTGTCAGCCTTCCCGGGAACAACAATCCAATCAACATCAGCTTTAGAGACTCGTCGAATAGTGACGCCAAACGGTGTGCTCTCATGGTGAAAATGCGTCAATTTCGTTCAAGCTAGAGATGTCAGCACATGGCATGGAGAATACAGTAGCAGAACCATTGTTCGAAGTCGTTAGGTATGCTTGAAGGCTAGTCCCGAATGGTATCAGTGATGTTCCTATTTGGTTGTGTGATATGGTTGCATCTCCTCCTGATGGAATTCCACACGCTCTTGGAGTACCCGCAATCAACAAAGAGATGATCTGGCATTTTCTCCTTCTGCCTACAGAGCTCGCAACCGATTAGCAAGTTTCTAACCATTCCTTTGCAGCCTGTCGATTGTGGGAATTCTTCTCTGAAAGAGAGTCCAAAGGAAGAAGTAGACCTTTGGGGGAATGATGCTTTTCCAGATAGTAGCGATAGGGAAGTCAGGGACAATTGGGAAAGAATCGTCAATCAAACACCTGTACATAGAGGACACAGAGAAGGAAGAGTCTGGTTTTGGCACCCAAACGAGTCTGCAAGGATAGAGGTGTTGGATACGTCAGAGATACCATCTTTCGGGACAACGGTGGCGGAAGCGACTCATGGGAAGGAGTTAGCGAGAAGGATACCTGGGGCTAGTGGCGGAGCCACATGAGGACAAGGGAGGTCCCGGACACCACCTCAAACATGAAACACACCCGTATAAAAATATTAAGAAATGTAAAACCATATCGGAAATTGTGTTTAAAAAGGCAGGATAAGGGTATTTTATAATGAAATTGTAGTTTAACCATTTCATATTGCTAAAATCTCTTTCTGATTTTAATTATTGATATAAATTTTTTCAGTCTAGCCATCTGCAGTATGATTTTGCGAGCATTGATAAATACATTATTGATAATGTGCTAAAAGAGAGAGTCGAAACAGAGGACCTCCCGTATATGGTTAGTTCTACTGTACCCAAGGTATTTGGTGGCTTCTACAGTACCCCGGTTAAAAAACCAGGGTACCACATACCTTAAGTATGAAAGCGTTATCTCGACCTCGAATTAGCAAAAAAATTGGCCCTGATACTATACCCTAACCCTTAATCAGTGAACCCTATGTCCTAATTATCCAAATTATAAACTATAATTGCTAAGATGGTGCATTCATTGTTTTGTCTATACTTGGACGAATCATAACCGTCGATTATTGTTTCTAATTAAATTGATCTTGGGGTATAAGATGTAACGAATTAAGATCTAGATTTTGATTTTTAAGGGTTAATAGTATAATATCATGTTCAAAAAATCAGTCAATTCAAGGTCTGGATAGCATTTTCATACTCAATGTATGCGGTACCCCGGATTTTACCCTGGGTACCGTAGAACTCATCATATATAGCAAAAGCTAAGCGTACTCTTATCGTTTGTTCAATAGCTTGTTGATCAATGTGTTTTACTTAAATTTTTTGAGCACTTCTACTATGATATTTAGTATTGGTGCTTCAATGTACAACTTAAAGTTGTATCATAACATTAAATGTATAAGTTTAGGTTGTACCATAAAGCAATTTGTACCCTTATGTTATGGTACAACTTTACAACTTCAAGTTGTACAACTTCAAGTTGTACCATAAAAGAATTTGTACAAAAAGTATAGGTACAATCTGAAGTTGTACCATAACGTAAATGTACAATTTTAAGTTATACCATAAAAACAAAAACCTATAGCACCAATGCTATATAACATTGTAAAATTTCTCAAATTTTTTTATTTTAAACTTTTAGATCTTGTATTATCTCGTATCTTTGCTAGAACGCAAAAAACAAAAAAATCCCCCTTCGCCATAACCTAACCCGTGTGCCTATAAATAGAAAGAGACCTACTTACTTCAAAGCATCCACCTTCCCATTCCCCCAAATCATCAACCAGCAGCCATGTCAGCTCACAAGTAGCCTCACATGGTTCTGATGCCGAGCTCCGGTGCCGGCCACTTCATCCCTTTCCTGAAATTAGCCGGAGCACTGGCGAGGCAAAACTGCCGAGTCACACTCATCACCTCCCACCCACTCGTTTCAAAGGCCGAGTCGGCTCTCATCACCCGCTTCCTTTCTCTTTACCCTCAAGTCACCGAGAAGCAATTCCATTATGTTGGGTGAAAGTCTAAAATGAAATGACCTTTTCAGCCTATAATAACTGCTAAAATACTTTACTAATTTACACAGACACTGAGGCACATACAATTCACTACCCCTCCCTCATACGTCAATTCGTTTGTCAAAAAAATATTCGATTGATTCACACGCAATTCATTGCCATCTTTTTATGTTCTTATTTACAATGCGTATGTGATTCCGCAAGAGCTCAATTTTGAGCTCAACTTCCTATTGTTAGGGTTTGTTTTGTTGCTTGTTTTCTTTTGGGTGGTAGTTTATGTGTCCTTCTTTTCCTTTTGATTGTCTAGTCTTTTGATTTTCTTATTCTTGATTAGTAAATTGAATTCCCTATGAGAACTATTAGTTATTTTGTGTACGACAACCATTAAGAATGGACCTGGGAAATTACAACCCGACCCGTTGACCCGACCCAAACCCGTCCGAAAAGTAAAAGTTTTTATAACCCGAATCTGATAATTCGTGATTTTTTGGGTCGGGTTGGGTGGGTTAGCGGGTCGACCTGTTAGACCCGTTCCATTTTATATCACTCCTAAAATGATAAATCACTCATAAATTGGTGAGATGTTTAAAAAATTCATAAGGATTTGAATGACATGTTTGGAGTTTAAGGATAATCAAATATCTTGTGTTTCTTGTAGTAGTATTACTCTTGTGATTGTTTTTTGACGATTGTGCAATTTGTATTTCATTACATTAACATGAGAGTATTTGACAATATGTTAATTGACATGTGTTAGGTAAACTATTGTCATGCATAAGTGAAAATTTGTGTTCTTCAAGAAAATATGAAGCATGTTTGGTATTGTTTCTGAGAGCACTCATAACCCGATCCGAAACCGAATGGAATGGATCAATATTTGTCCCCAAATCATCCAACCTAACATGACCCGACACGTACTTGAAGGCCTCAATCCGAAATTACCCAACCCGACCCGATTGCCATGTCTAATTAAGAAGATGCTGAGCAGTCATGATCTTAGGTTTTTTGTGCAGATTTTTCTAATAGTTATTGGAATTTACGACTAGTAAAGCACCATGACAGCAAGTACGGAAATCAAACTTTATATATTGTTTAACCCGATCCATTGACCAATTCACCAGATTGATTAAATTTTTGTTTGGTTAATTTGATAAATTTGATTAAGATCATTTGTTTCATAATTAGTAAAATTTATAGTTAATTGATTCGATAATTATCATGGTCATCAGTTCAACCCCCGAAGGCCGAATTCCAGTTTGCCACAACCAAAGCCGTATGTCTATAAATAGAGACCTACTTACTGCAAGGCGTCCACCTGAAATTTTCAACCAGCAGCCATGTCAGCTCACGGCCACCAGAACAAGCAGCCTCACATGGTTCTGATGCCGAGCTCCGGCGCCGGCCATGTCATCCCCTTCCTGAAAGTAGCCGGAGCCCTGGCGAGGCAAAACTGCCGAGTCACACTCATCACCTCCCACCCACTCGTTTCCAAGGCCGAGTCGGCTGTCATCACCCGCTTCCTCACTCTGTACCCTCAAGTCACCGAGAAGAAATTCCATCTGCTCCACCTCCCTCCAAATCATTCTTCTTCCTTCACCGACCCTTTCTTCCGACAATGGGAACTCATCCACCTCTCCCTTCCTCGTCTGTCCGACGTCCTCGAATCTCTGTCTCCGCCGGCAGATGCTCTGCTTTCCGACATAACCTTGATGTCTTCCACCATTTCAGTGACTGAAAGTTTGAACCTTCCTAACTATGTCCTCTACACTACTTCAGCCAGGATGTTTGCTTTCTTCGCCTACTACCCTGCTCTTTCCGATGCTCTTTCCAATTCGGTGGACGACGACGATGAATTGCTTGAAATCCCTGGGTTGGAAGGATTGCCCAAATCCTCTGTTCCTCCAATGCTTCAGGACACCACCTCGCCCTTTGCCACCATGCTCAGGTCATAATGATTAAAATCTATTGTCTTGATTAAAGTTCCTGTCTTGATTAAATTAATAGGAGACATGTTAATTAATTTTGAAAGATCAATGAAATTGCAAACAGGGCCAACAGCGATTGCATCAAGAAGTTCGACGGATTTCTGATGAACACTTTTGATGCACTGGAGGGGAGAACGTTGAGTGCACTTAAATCCGGGAAAATTGTTGATGGGATGCCACCGATCTTCGACTTTCTGTTTCCACCTTGGGAGCCAGAGGAGGTGATGAAGGGAGGCAGAGCAACAGCGTGGAAGAGATGGCTTGATGAGCAGCCCCCAGCCTCTGTTGTGTATGTGAGCTTCGGAAGCAGAACGCCCTTGTCCAGGGAACAAACCCTCGAGGTCGCCAAGGGGTTGATTAGTTGCCACTATCCGTTCATGTGGGTAGCAAAGGGCTCGGTTGTTGACAAGGAGGATGGGGTGAGCTTGCAGCAAGTTCTTGGGGAAGATCTCGCTCGTCAGGTAAACCAATCAGTTTGGGCGAACAAGACTTAGTCTGGTGGTATTATCATTGTTCTTGATTCTGGATGTCACAAATTCGAATTTGTTATGTGGCACCTTATTGTAAATCGTTTTGTTCTGACCGTGATAACAATGAATGAGCAGATGGAAGAGAAGGGTGTCGTTGTGAAGGACTGGGTGGATCAACTGGATATCATTGGGCACAAGTCCGTGGGGGGATTCGTGACACACTGTGGATGGAGCTCGATCGTCGAAGCGTCCTCGTATGGGGTTCCGATGCTTGGTTGGCCTCAAATCGGGGATCAGAGGATAACAGGGGTGGCAATGGCTGAATGCGGGGTGGGGATACTAGGAGGGAAATGGGGATGGAATGGGGAGTTTGTGGTGAAGGGGGAGGAGATTGGGATGCATATTAGGGAGATGATGGAGAACCAGAAGTTGAGGTCTCGAGCAGCGGAGGTCATGGAAGACATAAACAAGGTTGTCGCACCTGGTGGTGTATGTGATCGGACTCTAAAACATTTCCTTAACAAGTTCAAATCTTAAATTTGGTTGTACCAATAAGTTTATCCCGATGAGGATTATGGTTTCAGGGTTTGATAATAGGTTGCAAGAAGATTATGAAGAAATTGTAATATGTAATGTGCTTGAGGGATAAGATCAACGTGTTTTGGGGAAGCTTGCAAGCAATAAGGTGTTGAGTGGTGTTTTGCAATTAACAAGTAAAGTATGTTAACACATCACATGGTAGGATCCATCATTTTATCAAGAAAACAAGCTCATTACTCTAGCAGGTGAAACTAGCTATCAAATTGTAAGACTTTGTTTGTGTTAGGTGTTTACTTAATTGAGTGATGTGCAACAAATTTCATTTATAATTGATTCTAAATCCCATATCATTTTCACTAATACCAAAAATGAATCCGCAAGAGTTAATGGACCATCTTAGTTGGTGTGTATGTGACAGAGAGGGAGAGAGAAATTGATCTCAACTTCCTATTGTCATGCTTTGTTTTGTTCCTTGTTTTCTTTTGGGTTGTTGTTTTTGTGTCCTTTCTTTTCCATTTGTTTGTCTAGTATTTGATTTTCGTATTGTTGTTTAGTAAATTGAAATACATATGATTATGTTTATATTGGACATTTTAAGTGGTAGGTGGAAACCAAGTACTCTTGAATACGGGTGGTCATTGGTCCGGTCCAACCTCACTAAATCACATTGAATCTTATATGCGGTCAAACAAGATTGCACTGACAAGGATGCAGTCTACATTTTATGAGGTTCTTGCTTTTGCGATCCACTCAAACCGAAATTGCACAGTCGCGGCTCAAAATTGCAAACTATTGTAAAGCCCAACTCTTCCTCTTCATCTCTGACAGCAAACCGATTGTATCCTTTATTCTGTTGCGGCCTATACATCCTCACTTGTGGCAATTTTCTTCTTCCTCACTTGAACTCAATCCCCGATCAGCAAACGACCTCACCCCACAATAGTTAGAGAAGCGTTGTCGTGTCGGGGAGGTGACTCTCTTTTATATTGTACCAAAATTTATTATATTATTGTTGATGCCAAGCTAAAATAGCCGACCTCGAGCGTTGTAGAGTCCGGAGAGCGTTGACCTTTAGGTTGCCGTTGAATTCCAGCTCTCGAGATGAACACCTGCAAAAAAGGACCCGCCGGTTGTGATCGGCGGGGACCTTCTCCAAAGCTCAAATCAGTATTTGGAAGTAACCGGGAGCAGCATATTGAGCCGGCTCTAGGGGGAAAGCAAGAGAAATTTCGGGGTTGGAAGTTGCCAATTCGCCGAGAAGAAGTTCGTCGGGAATTCCCCTTTTCCGATCTCGTTCAGAGAAAATGAGTTCTCTGGATTTGAGATGGATTGCTGAGGAAACATAAATGAGCGTCCTATTTATAGGTGCCTCCTGCTCCTGGCATGGGTGGCGTGTCCTTTATTAATTGAAAAGGTTTAAAGAAGAAACCACTTTGATGGGTGCATACCTGTATCATCATTATATTCACCGTACGTGTAGAACCAATGAAAGGTGATGGGTGGCTAAGGTGTACGATGTAACCATAGTTGATAGGATTGGAGGTTTGGGAAAATTAAGTTTTAGACTTTTAATGTCCAACTAACAACTATGGGCCAGTAAATTGAACATAATGAGATGGGTTGATGGAGTTAATACCTCATGCATTTACATATATTTTGCTTTGCATGCATGTGATGGCGTACGTGCTCCATTTCTCCATGGGTATTCATAGAAGGAAAGTAACATAATCAATTTGGTGAGATAATTGGTTAATGGAACACATACAACCTCTTGTTACGTGTATGTAATGGGTAAAGCTGTCAAGTGAGGGGTTAATTAGAGGGACTAGGCTTATGACTAGTTTAGCCTATACACACACGTGTAATCACAGTAAAGTTGGGGTTTTTATTTGTGGGTAAAGGTTGCCATTCACCCAACTTAACAAAGATGGCTTGCTCTTTTGTTCCATGCAAATGAGACAGGTGGAGGGTTGTTTTACTATTACCATCCATCAATTTAAACAACTCTTACACATGGAAAAAGATGGGTGGTGAAGTGTTAACCTATAAATTTAGTTGGAGGGAAGCAAATAAGGATTGCCATCCACGTGGAATTGAGGTGGCAAAGTACCCACCTTTCTCCATTTTTTGCCCAGGTAAAAATAATTGGATGGGTGATCACTAGTTACTATAGTGATGGATGGGTGGTAATTAAATTAATGGGCTCATCAATTGCCCCCTACTAATAGGGTGATAGTAGATCCCTATTAGTACTCAAACTCTATAAATAGACAGAGTTGTTCATTTGCCCATTTTAGCTACCCATCTTTCCCTTGATTGAGAAGAAGTCCAGGCCACGCTTTCAGTTCACTTTCCCATCAGCTTCCCATTAATCAATCCATACACTTTCTGTTGGTTCTTGAGGTCCATTATTTTCCTCCACAATTCCATATCCGCCACCAAGGTAATTCTTTCCTCCCACACTTCATTTTTATTGTTACTTTATTTAATGCTTGCATGGTTCATTTAGGTTGCTCATGTAGATTTGTTTTTTAATATATTTTTATTCATGAATAATAAATGGTGTTACATTTTGTGGTAGGACGATGGAGAGAGAACGACCATCAAGTTCTCGTGCGGAGGTCCCTACATCACATGGATTACCTGATTTGTCCATGTCGCTGCGTATAAACCCCGGCACGGAGATGGTGCACGGAAGAGATGAACAGCTAACTCAAAGAGAAAGATCATCAGCTTTAAGTCGACGAGGTTCATCATCATTTTTCCTTCGTCCATGGCGTGGTATGTTTCCTTCCATATCCCAAGTGTCAGAGTTTTCCAGGATAGGTCCAGGTGGACGTTTTAACCGGGATGCAGGTTGGGTGAATGAAACTTTGGTAGATTTTGATATGCCGCGTCACTGGGAGTATGCTATCCCGACACGGCGTTCCACTCCAGCTAATCATGGTACGGGATGGCATGCTATATATGCAGAGTCTCTGGATTGCGGGCTTCGTTTCCCCTTTCCTGCGTGGTTATGTGAGGTAATGCAGAGATCCCATTTGACGGTGAGTACTATGACACCTGGTTTTTGGACGCTCGTAGCTGCTTTTCGGTTGGGTTGTCATAGAGCCGGTGTATCACCTTCACCGGAATTATTCCATGCATGTTTCTATCTCCATGAAGAGAGTACAGGATGGTGCCTTCACCGTAGAAATATCGCATTTGGTCTCGCAACTCGGTATGGTCGTGCACGCCGAGGTTGGGAACGTGAGTTTTTCTACTTCCTTCCAGCTCCAGGTGAAATTTCTTATAATGGTGTGGAGGTCCCTTCCGAGTGGAGGACTATCGATTTGGGGGGATTTCGGAGAAATGAAGTGCGGAGAGAACACTTAGCACGAGGAGAGCTAGCTTCCCAAGTGAGAAGGATATCAGAAGCGGGGCCGATTGATATTGAGACTCCAGAAGCACGGGCTATCCTATTCTTCAGGGTCTATAATGATGGTACGTTTGTGTGTTGTTTGTTCATATTCTTGTGTTACTTCATTACTTATGTATTATTTTTTGCAGCCTACTCGCGTGTTAGAGCATGTATGGAAATTCAGGAGAATGCCTTATTTTCCACAAGGTTACCATTGCATATCTCTAGCCCACAAGGTGGAGTGGTGATCCGTGAAATTCCCGAGGTTCCTAGACCAGCAGTGCCGACGTCGATTGGTGGTCCAAACAAGCGAGCGCGTCTTTTGTCTCCACGTCGAGACAAGAGTTCTGAGCCAACTTTTAGAAGAGATTATGAAGCCGACAGCTCGAGTCGTCCCACCCGGTAGGGCGAGCAGAACCGCCCCCAAATGGCGAGGATATTGCAAAGGTCAGAGCTTCGTCCTAGAAGTGATCCCGGTACTTCGGGTGGGGGACGAATAAATGCCCCGACAGTTTTGAACTATCGCAATTTGTGTGATATGGGAGGTCAACTTCCTCCTCTTGAAGGGGAGGCTGCAGGTCTTTGCTTTGCGAGATCGCAAAACCAGGTAATTATGCTATATTTTGGATAATGTATGTTGTGATGAATTAACTAACCATAGGGTTTACTGCAGATGAATCAGTACGCCGCGGAGATGGAGAGGCATGTGGCGAAAGCCAGGTCAGAGATTGTGACAGCTCATCAAAATGCAGCGCGTGCGGGGCATGATCTTCGCAGCAAGAATCGGAAGCTGGAGGAAGCCAGGGATCGTGTTGACAAGCTCCAGGCACTCCTCCAGGAGGCTCAAAGTCAGGCCACGATCAATTCAAAGAAGCTCCAAATAACAGAAGCTTCAGAAGTAGCGCTGCTGCAGGAGATGACACGGCTTAAGGAAGAGCATGCAGCCGAGCAAGAAGTTCTTATGGAGGAGCGCGACCATGCTCGTGCAGAGGTAGTAGAATTACGGCATCAAGTGCAACAGGCGTTGGGGGAAGCCTCAGGAGGTGCCATACTCTCAAACGATCCACGTGACATACTTCCAGAGGCTGAATCAGACGAGGCACGCATACGGAGGGAGACAGATACCAGAGTCGGGGCAGTTTCATGTGGGGAGGCGGTGATCCAACACAACACCAACGAAACCGAGCCTCTTAGTGCAACACCACTGTTTGGCACGGATTCTGCGACCCAGTCCTTTCTTGCTGCCATGGATAGCCCAGTTCCGACAGAGCTAGCGATATCAGCTGAGCACGCTTGGGTAAGTATGGGTGAAATACTTGGTTCTGATCCCCATATGTGAGATAGCGTAGCTTTGTAGCGGTAGCATACTTTTTCCCTGGTATAGTTAGTATCTTGCTCCGCATATGTATTTGGGTATATTACTTATGTATATACTAGTTTCCATAGACATGTAGTCGTGTATTTTGCCTATGTACATATAGTAGTTTGCCATAAGTATGTAGCCGTGTATTTTGCGTTGTACATTTCAGCGGCTTTTAATAAAACTAGGTGGCGACGTATCACCTTTTTATTTCAAACCTTCTGTACATGTCGCAACAAACACGTAATACATATTATGGCATATACTATGTACATATTATGGCATACTCGATACATATTATGGCGTAAAGTACCTTCGAAGGTGCATGGCATTCCAGGTGCGAGGAATGTTTCGGCCACTAGCATCAGAAAGCTTGACAGTGTTGGGATCGACCATTTTGCGTACTCTGTAGGGTCCTTCCCATGGTGGATTGAACTTTCCCAAGCTTGTTTTGTGATAAAA